GGAAAGGGAAGTGCCTGACGCAGCAGGTGGGGCTCGAGGGAGTTGCCCTGAATGAACTGTGTCTGGGGGCTTTTATCAGGTGTGGGGGACTTGACCTGTCTGCATCTCCCAGTTATGAGCGGACCGGTCCCAAGTCTGGACCGATTGCTCAGGTCCAACCATAAAACTGGGCATGCTCTCCCCTCCGCTGGGTCCTGCGCAGGCATGGACGGGGACGTCAGCATGAAATGGGTCAGGAAAAATAAAAACTACAGTCTTGGGTTTGCTAACTTTGGAGTTTAGAATCAGCCTAAGGGTCTGATGGCTGCAGGCTTAACATTTCCGTTGCTCTGGGCTGTGGAAATCTCTCCTCCAGTCTGCCACTCCCCTTGCTGCTCACTGCAGCATCTCTTTGCCCTTGCTCTGCCTGCAGGCTATGTCCTATCTCTCCATACCCCCCTTCAGAGTGGAAGCCCCAACTGCTGTTAGGGAGTTAGGGCAACAACTCTTCTGACTACTTCCAGCTGTCGGGGAGCATCATGTGGGCAAACAGCAGTCGGGGTCCCTCCCCAAGGAGTCTACCTACTGGGCCATGGTAGAAAGCAGTTGAGGAACAGGGTTCTGGGTGAGCTGTCTCGAGCAAGGATAGTCTCTGAATTCATTGAGATTCTTTCCGTTCCCTGGGCCACCAGAATGTGTGTCTGAAACTATTGGAATCTAGAAGATACAAGCTTCATTACCAAATTAAAAAGGCAAATAGGCAATCACTAAGATAGCCACCAGAGGTCCAAGTGAAGTTTCAGTCCCTGGGAGCCAAGACTTCAGCCACACCCACCAGGATTCTTCTTGATGTCTTACATGGGGCTTCGGATGGGTCCAATCAACCTCTATTTATTGCTTTTAGACTGGTCTCTTCAAAGTGAGAAGTGTTCGCCCAGAAACCACAGGAGGCTTTGTGAAGGAGGCACACACACCTCTTTCTCTAGCCAGGAGATAGTCTAGAGAGAGTCTGTGATCCACGACCTGCCAGTGAGAGTAAGGATGTTGGTTGGGCCCGAATATAATTATAGTGGCAGTTTTCAAGACGTGAATGCTCTGTCTCTGTCAAAGTCCTTCCTTCAAGGTCAAAATCAGGAACGTCTCTCCTTGTCTGAGTCCATTGATGAGAGGGCTGTCCATACTGAACAAAAGAACAATTAGTTATCAATAAAGGGGAGGTGAGATAGCCAAAGGCACAATTCTCAGTGATTAAAAAAGGATCTAAACATTTGTAGCAAAGGTATATTGAGGGGAACAAACCCACACAAAAACATAGATCCCAGGGGTGCACGTACAATCCCCAGGGCTAAAATAGAGTAATTCCGAGTGGCATTGAGCCATTGAATGAGGATGGGGAGGGAATGATTGCAATAGGGATAGCTTCTAATCCCCACGGTGACCCTGGGGAGATAAGTTGAGACTGCTTCATTAAGGAGGGACTTTGGTCCTTGACACAGGTCAGGGGTAGAGATGCCGCTTACTTCTCCCAGACTGCCACCCTGTCATACGTATGCAGTCAATGTCTCTGAAAGTTCCCCCTACGATGGCTTGTAAAAAAAA